CGTTAATGTCATGAATTTCCCTGTTATCATTCTCAAAACGCATTTTACTGGCCTTAAATTCATTACCTATAAAAATTAAACTCCTTTTCATCGAATAAAAGCGATATTTTCGGGGTTCTCACATGCCCACCGAGTTTTCCGCGAAATATTCTTGTATTAACGACACTTGGTGTCTCTGCCGGTGCAGCCTAGCGCCTCATGGTTTCCTATTTCAGTATTCAGGATGCCGCGTTCATCCATATGCAGTTGCATCGCGTGGCAAACCGTTTAATTTTTGATGCGACGCGATACTTTATGGCCGCCGTGTGACTCTATTCGAGGAGCGGATGTTTCGCTATAAAAAAAAACTCAGCACCGCTATCTCCGTATTATTTTGAATCCCCTCGGCCATGTTCGCCCCGAGCGATATAATTAGCATAATTCAATCATCTTCGAGGGTCTTAATTCTGCGACGGCGACGTCTCGGCAATTAGAGGCCTCGCTTTCTCTGTCTCTCCGTAAATTAATTTATAATCTGAAATCTCCGAGTTAACAAGCGCGACGCGGGCTAATAAATTTTCGAAATATGACGGGGGAGGTTTATTTGCGAACCAAGTTGCCGAACAACTCGATAGTTCTCTAGAAACCATATACCCGATATTTGCTTAATAATCCTCGTAAACGCTAGTCTTCCATCTTCGTTTAGCTTCTACCCAGCATCACATTCAGAAATTTAGTCGTTCCACCTTGGTCCTTGCGCAGGTATGATCCCAAAAGAAGTGAAGAAATGAAGAGTCTATCCTAAACAAGCTTCCGTCTTAAACAGTTAATAAAATTCGACCTGAAAGCTCCTAAATGTAATATTCCAAAACCTGGAAACTTTGCTCTAAAATGTATAAAATCTAATCCCGACATCGTAATTCTAAATCCACATAAAGGATTCGAGATATTCTTATAGACGGATCATATCGTCAACTCAAAAAAGATCTTAATTTTTCAAAGAAACTTCCGCGGGCTACCGTAATACTTTTTACAAAACTTCTGGATTCCTCCTGGGTCGGTCTTTGTTGAGTCGAACTGGCTAACGTTTCGCCAATCATCCTGTTGGCTTCTTCAGAGCTTGACTGAAACTGGCTCCCATTTTACTCTGTACCTGCTTTAATATTGTTTGAGGGGGGCGGAGCTAAATGAGGAGCATAAACACCATCCCGGATGACTGATTCCCATATTGGTGACAGATAGAGACTTGAGTCGCGGTTAAGATTGTAAGGTTGTCTATATGAGCCTAGTTGATATTTTTCGTCCGGTGTCTCCAATGTATGTATGTAAATAAAAACATCTGGCAACACCGCATCCGCGTTTCTCTCTCCGCTAGAGTTCCATACCGTGGGGGATGTTGGTATCGCGTTTCTTGTTTTTATAATATCTAATTATCGCTGCGGACGGGGCAATCTGTCTATATTTTTACAAAGATGCGGTACGGGCGTCGAGTTTCGACGTTATAATACACAAACAATGTAAAAGCATATAAGCACATCGACCTTTCGGAGCATTCGGGAAAGGTAATAAATAAATAATAAAAGAAAATCGTGAGCTTTCGTGCACAAGTGCGGTCCGGATACGACATATACCGATAGGGCGTGTCCTCTATTATAACGTTCTTTGTTATAGAATAACGGATGCATCGGACTCATACCTTGTTTGAAGGTTGCTTTTTGTTACGAGTTATTGCGATTAAGTACCACACCAGATGGCGCTTTCGGACATAATGAAAAAATATTTTTTTTACTATGGTCAAACAAGTGTGCAAAGAACCGCATCTCAATATCTTTATCGTAACCAAACGCGAAGCTTATAAATTAATCTAATAATAATAATTAATCTAATAATAATAATAATAAATCTAACTGCCGACCTAGTAGAGGTCCCACAATTTTGGAAGTATCGCAAATCATCGAACGATAGTCCTTGTAATTTTTCATTTGCACCGGTAGGGAAGCAAGAACATTTCAGTTGTGCAAAAGAACAACTTTGCCTCGAGTGCTCAGAAACAGAAAGATCCCAAGGTAAACCAAAGTCATTAAGTTCTGAACAAATAAGGGTATCTTCGTCTATTTCATGTTCAGGAAAACTGGTGATATATTCTTCTAAATTGGCCGGATTCTCATTTATTGGGACCTCTAGGCCATGTGGCACGGGAATAATTGCAAACTTGAGGTTCGGATACGCAATCCTTTTGAAATTTTTAGTAATATGTCCACGAAATTGCACTGCAGATATGGCAGAGAGACAACAAATCGTAGTGATTAATATTATTCCAATGTCTTAAACGTAACAAACAATAGCAAATGTTTCCTTTAAAATAAGCGTAGTATTGTTTTTTAAACTGGGAAGTAATTTTACGTCTAAATTTTTGTACCACACAAGAATCACACACATAGCAAAACGTATCTGGAATGTTTTTATAATTTGGAAATAAAATAGATTGTTGCACTTATACCTCAACATTAGCATTTTTTCTACAAATTTTGATTTGCTATGGAGAAGGACGCTTTATTTTTTGTCTCTAATCGGAAAACCCAGCATATATTTGAAAAAAACACTTGCACACTGGTTAAAGGCTTCGATAAAATATTTTTTCCCTGGGACTCAAAGTAATCCAAATTATTTTTTTAAAAATGCTTCGATGCGGAACAGTATCAACAGTTTAAATGTCGGTGTCAGCTGATAGCTGCAAATTTGTGACACTCATTACATTTCTTAATATAGCACGGAATATCACGAAGACCCTGTACAATAGACCAAAACTTTAAATACAAAAGTTTGAGCTGCTTGTGCGAGCTAAATCGTCATGTCAAAAAAACCGACCACTTAAATCATGTTTTTCAGTTGTGGTCAATTTTGTTTAAAAGTTTTTCGAGTGGCAAGGCAGAGCTGGGCCAGGTATATTTCTTTCTTTCTGACATATTTCCATTTGTGGACGAATAATTGCTTTTACTATACGTTTCGAACTAGCTAACGTTTCGCCAATCATCCTGTTGGCTTTTTCAGAGGTTGAATGAAAACTGACTCGCGGAGCTAAATGAGGAGCATAAACACCGTCTCGGATGACTGATTACCGTATTGCTGACAGATAAAGATCTGAGTCGCGGTTAAATCGTTAGATTGTTAACAGATTTCTATGGATTCTCGGATTTTTCGTTTTATCGAATCAAATTTTATGTCCGCTTTCGTGATTGTGTTCGGCAGCTGATGAGTTTATTTGTCGTAGTCGTAAGGCTCTTTCGTATTCTTTGAGCCTAGTTGATAGTTTTTCGAATATGCATAAAATGCTGCAAAATGCAAATGCTCAATTGGAATTTTGTCTTTGGCGGATCGAAGATAAGAGATTTTTCGACAAGTGGTAAATCTGGTTTTGACGTTATACATCTTTAGAACTTTTGATATGTGGTCAGTGATATTTTGAATGTTAGGAAGGACCACAGTGCCAAGTTTAGGCACTGTATTTTTTATCGAATGCTTAATATTTTTAATTATAATTAGTTCGACTCAGGAATACAAAAGTTCTCTAAAACGTAAATATGACATCTGAAAAATCGCTATAACTCCAAAAATAAGTGTACCAAATATTTTTTGAAGAAGCAAAAAAACATATACCAACTTTTCGCGACATTTAGGGAATAATGCAGCAGCACTTGCAAATGGAAAACTTGAGAATAATGAGGGACAGCCACTTATGCGCTTGAAAAAGCGATTCTTCTCGACAAAGAGACTGTTTTGAGAAGCCACGAACGACAGTATTATGGAAGAAGAAGAAAAAGAAGAATTAACCTCTTACTTTCCTCACTAGCAGCCCCAAATACGCAGCCAAGGCCTACTTGGAAATATGTTGCTACGTCTAGGTATCTGGTTTAGGGGAAAAATCTACCAATACAACAGAAACCTGCGCATTTGTCTCGATATTTCATTAGCATCGCTTCCTTTGAATCAGTGACCCGCCGCGACTTTTCGATCGGTTTCGCAGATACAACGGAGCGACTGTTGGTTCACATTAAACGGAGTCGTTCACTGTGCCTCCTGCCGAGTGTTTCTTCGATCCGTCACGCTAATGACCCCTTCGGATGTTAAAGCTCCCGCAAAAAGTAATTAAGAGAGCATATTTAATCATCACGCTCGCCGAGCCAACGGACAAACGGTTCCCATAAGCGGGGTTATCTATAGGGTGAGCGAACCTGCACCGACCCAGATATAGTTGTGCATAATAATTTAAAATCGATAAATCAATAGATTTTGCGTACTGGATTGCACTTATACTGCGAGGACAACAGACTAGCACCGAATAATGGTAAACTCTCGCGCATAACATTTTAATTATGACAGAAATACAGAAAATTTCTCGTCTCTACGGACTCCTTAAGATTCACAATGCATGATTCTTGGTAAAAAAAAATCATTTCTTTTATCGGTCACACGCTTTATCCATTGAAGTTTAACATTCCAGAAGAAAATTTCACTGGTCGTCATTAGTTTAAGCAAAATGAATATAAGTAGTTTTGACGTTATGTTTCTTTAGAACTTTTGATATGTTGTCAGTGATGTTTTGAATGTAAGAAAGGACGACAGTGGCAAGTGTAGGATTGCTTTCGGCCTCGTTACTATTGTCAGGTTGTGGTGAAGCGTATTTAATATCTTTGTTGTGGATATTATTAGAGAGAAGAGCAGAGGTAAGGCGTTTTAATACTGTGTTCAGTGACTCGGTCCGAGATAGTTTTACGGCTCTGTAAACAAGAGAGTTGGTTAAGGTCTGTGTGCACAATGACCCAATGTTAGATCTGATTTTCTATTGATAAGCATATTTAAGAATGGGAATGTATTATTAATATCTAATTCAATGGTAAAACGTATGTTAGGGTGTATAGAGTTTAAATGTCTAAGAAAATCTACTAGGGATTGTTGACCATGAGGCCAAATAATAAAATAACAGAAGACTTGCAGCGACCCGCGTAGAAGCTTCCACTTACCATGTAGCTCGATGACGGGCACCTTCTGCAGCTTGGGGGTGCTAGGCACGCCTTGTCCCGCTACCGCTCCGCTGTACACGTGACTGTTCCGCGCCAGCACCTTCCACAGTTTCATTTTGGCCGCCAGGATTGCCGGATTCGAGTCCGTGCGCTCACATAAACTGCAGCCACTTGACCAGCGTCGGGCCGTCACGTGGAATCCCAACGACGGTCATGTTAAACCTCTCGGATCGCGGAGATAGAAAAAGAGAGAGAGAGTGCTGTTTGTTCTTAAAGACGCGAATAAAGGAGATAATTCGGCGGGCGGAAAAAAGCGCGAACTGCAACGACTCGCCCGAAGCTATGCATTTAAAGTGCTCCTAAAAATAAAATGGCCGACGTTGTTTCTAGAAGTCCGTGCGATATATCTGAAAACGGAAACGCATTGTTAGGGAGACATTTTGAAAATCGAGATATGACGTTTAGTTCGAAAATTTTTGAATCGAATTTATTGAAACCCGTGACGTATATATTTTTCAAAAAGAATTTTTTGGACCACAAAAATCACAATTATGCTTTATTATTGGTTTTTCATAACAGTAGCTCTTTGGAAAACGCACATTAACACGCTGGTTTTTGAAATACTGCATAAACTCGTAACAAAATTAAATGTATACGTCAATTAAGTGCCACAAATTAATTAGGCCCTCTCCATTATAATTGCTATTGATTATATATTATAAGTACAATATTCTCTGTAATAATTATTATTAAGGAAATATTTGGAAGTTTAAAGTAGAATAATTATTATTAAAGTAATTTATTAATTATTGTCAATAATAATATGTAGCATTATTATTAAGTTAATATTTTCAATAGAATATGGTCTATAATATTTACCATAAAGGAGATATTTATTTTAAGTACAATTTTCTTTATAATTAATATTGATATTAAGGACATAATCTAAGTAAAAAATATATATAATTATTATTATTGACTAAATATTTTTTTTAGGAAATATATTAAGTAAAATATTATTATTATTATTATATTTTTAGTCGAAAATTGTCTATAATTGTCATTATCAAAGAAATATTTTAATTAGAATATAAATAAAAAATGTATTAATGTAAAGCCTGTAAATGTATTAATGTAAAAGGTTAATCTCTCTATACGCTAACTGGTGAGTTTGAAAATATTGCTAATGCTCAATATGCTCAATTTTTGAAGAGACTTAGCGATTTTGGAATACTGTTTTAATTTATTTGTAGATTTCCTGCATTTTTATGGATCATATCCAGTTCAGGATGTAAGGATGATAGTCTTGTTAATTTGGTAGGGCATGACCAATTCTTTTTCGAAGTGAAGCAAAACATTTTCACTTTTGTAAGAAGTTTTTAAAAGTAAATATGGATTATGGGACGACTTAACTAGTTAAGTATAAAACTAATTGAGAACGACTGTTAAAACCAGTTTCGGTTATAGTTGACCCATTTTTTGCCCACGAAAACGGCGTTTCAACTAAAGGTTTTTAAGGATATCACACAGCCACATTGCTAGCTTTCATTAAAATAAAATTTCCTTTTTTTTTTGGCCGCCACCCGAATTAAAGCTCTCTCGAGCGCGTAATTAGGCGCTAAACAAACTCGAAAGCCAATTTATATTTTCGGGGATCGGGATCGACGCTCACTTTTAATCCGGCGCCGAGTAAAACCTCGATATTAAAAAAGTCGGACCGGAAACCGAAGTAATTAATTTCGCCAAAGTTGAAGAAAACCGATTACGAAAGTGTCTCCAAAATTGTGAAATAAAAAGGATTTTTTTAATCCCAGTGGTACATTTGGCAACACTGCTGACAGACAGAAGCGACAAAAAGTGGCAAATGGCACCCGACGTTGGTCCCCAATGTACACTGAGAAAATGTTCATTAAAAAAAACGTGAAAATTACTTTGAACTAAAAGAAAATTTTTATAATAATAATGAAACCTACATCCAAAAAAATAATCAAACAAGGTGTACCTACCTGAACATTGATATTTATTTTTTTACAATTTAAGATTTTTTAAATAATTAAACAGGGTGTTTCAAAAAATTGCTTCACGGATTACTCACGATCATCTTCAAACCGCTTGAAGTAAAAAGCTGAATTTTGGTATAAAGAGGAATGTTAAGGTGTTAGAGGTACCGCAAGAAATGGATTTTTAAGAACCCAAATTTCAAATATAAGGATATTTGTTAGTTTAAAAAAATGTTAACTTTTCCGAAAAACGCTTAAATACGTCTATTTTATTCTTTTTTCACGTACCTATTCTAAGTTCTTTTAAAAAATAATATACAGGGTATTTCAAAAAAATCTGGTTACCGATTCTTCACGATTCTGGGCATAGCACAAGGTGGTATTATTGGTCCAATTCTATTTACCATTTTTGTAACAAAGACAGACATATAAATATAAAACATATATAAATATAAAAATATATTAAATATAAATTCGATTGATCTGAACATATCGATTATTTGCTAAATAAATTCTGTTGTTGCAAACCATACGAACATAAAACTTTAAAAATGATGATCTGATGAAATGAAAATGAAAATTTTCGTGGTGCAAAACGGGACCCTTCAATATGCGCTATATATATTTATGAAACATTAATATTTTTTTTTAATTAGAAAGCTCTTCGAACTGCAGGTACAACACCAGAACCTTAAATGAAAATTAAAGATTGTATAAAAAATTGCTAAATAATGTAAAAGAAATTGCAAATCTAAGTATGTTTAAACCTTACCATCTAAAAGACTTTTTTCTGAAGTATTTTATTAATACTTAATTTGTAATAGAATTTAGTATCTTCTTCATTTGTAATACAATAAAGTTGATTCTTCTTGTTATTATTATTAATATCTGATAGCTATATGATCGGCACAGTCCACAGGCGGAAGGCAGAAACGAAGTCCTTTTTTTCTCCCGTCTTGAAAAATTGTTTACCTAGATACTTTAATGGCAGCGTCTAGCACGGGCCCGTTCGAAGAACCGGACAAACAAGCGGGCGCTAAAAGCGTCCTTATTTCATTCGCCGGTTTACGAGTCGGACGTAGACTCCCTATAACTTTCGACAGTTCGAACTTTTTAGCGCCAGTTAAAGCGCCGTAAAAATTTACGGACTGCGCGACTTTTCCCGTCAACAAAACGGTCGTTATCGCCTCTCTCGAAGTTTAAAGTTTTCGCTTAAAACCGTATATGGACTTGGGAGAGCGCGAAACGCATCAAACCGATCTCAGTGGGATGCGGAAAGAGGTTTCGTCGAAAAGTTACCAACTGCAGAGAACAAACAAAGAATTTCAAATTCGTGAAGCAATTGAGAGAAAAAAAATTGCTTTCGTCGGTGGTAAATCTAATTGAAAGAAAAAGAACATAAACTGCTAGGGTGAACAATTATCTTAACTCAAAAAAAAATTCATCTTTCCCGAAGTCAATATAAAAGTACTCTCAAAAAAGGATGGTTCTTCATTAGGAACGTTTTTAGCCCGCCCAGGCGGTCAAATATAGGAGAAAATAGGTTTTATCGATAAGTCGTCTATAATTTATCGATATTTAAAGGAAATAATATTGGAAGCAAATTTAATTTACTTTTACATTGAATTCCGCCTCACAATAAAATTAAAACCTCGCCTACAGTCAAAATGTAGATCGATAATTTATCGATATTTTTAGAAAATCACTTTGAACTCGACTTCCTCACGAAAATTAAAAAGTTTGAGAAATAAAATTTCATACGTTGTGTATCTCAATCGATCATTTATCGGACAGAATCCATTAAAAAAATTCAAGTTTCCCGGAGGAAAGTAGAAGTAACTAAAGTGTTGAAGCCATTCCTTTTATACCTTTGTCGTTTAATTTTACTACACTTTAGCAATCTTCCAGCATGGGCGCTCATAGTAGGTAATTTCATAGTCCAATACCCCAAAGCTAAAGAGATTGTCTCACTCTCGTTAGGGCAGAAGGTGCACTGCACCAAACAGAATTTACTGAACGCAGGTGGAGTTGGCGGCGCTTCAACTCATTGGGGTACTTTACAAGAAGAATAAAGCCCCTCAAAAAGGAACTTCGAGGTTATTTTTCGAAAATGAACAAAATTTTGCTGAATTGTTTTTGGTTAGTTTTGGTTATTCCAATATTTTTTTAAATGTCGATAATTAATCGATAAAAACCTTTTTTTGTTTTTCCTAGATACGTCAGGTAGTCAGAATCGACTAACAACACAAAAACCAACTTGTTGTACTATTAGGTCTCCATACAAATCTATGTATTAATCCACTCTGTATAACGAACTTCTCACTCTCTATATCGAAAGAAAAAAGGGCACACTTAATCGAAAAATTTTATCTCTAGCTTTAATGCGGCAGATAGAACGGGAAGAAAAGAAAAGTGATGTGGGACGTCGATACGGACTTACACAGTCGACTGTATCCACGATTTGGAAGTGCAATGGAAAAATCATTCAGGCTGAAGCGGCAGGCAGCTCTAATAAGAAACTAAGAAAGCCAAAATTTGGAGATTTGGATCGGGCAATGTTGCAGTGGTTCCAATGCAATGTCTGGATCTATCGTAAAACTAAAAGCAGAAAGTTTGCTGAACAGCTCGGCATTATCGATTTCGAGGCTTCGGAAGGACGGTTGGGGAAGTTCAAACAGAGACATGGTATAAATTATGGATACTAACGATTGGCTGGAGAAGACGTGGCCAAAACTAGCAGAAAAGTACCCTGCTGACGACATTTTTAATGCGACGATACTGATATTTTTTACAAAATGACATCAGATAAAACTCTTAAAATTCGAATCGAAAACTGTGTGGCTGGAAAACTTTCTAAAGAACGTATAACAGTATTAGTAGCTGCTAGTGATTAGAAAATCAATTAACCCACGATGTTCTAAGAACATCGAGGATTTTCCGATCACTAACCAGGCAAACAAATCTGCATGTCATCCATGCAGTCAAATCGCGTATAAATTCGACAGCACAATTAAAATTTATTGTTGTTCCGACGAGGCTAACTGTTAGACGGACCCTTTTCTTTGATCCCGAAACGCAATTAATCAAAAATATCGCCCTAACGTTTCAATATCCTCCGGTAAACGTAATTAAGTTCTCGTTCGGACCGAGGCAGTCGGAAATAATAGGCGTAGAAAAGTCGGCATTCGAGTCGAAGAAAAACTAATAGTCTTCCCGATGTTGCTCTCATTTGCATCGAGGACGCAAATCTCGAGTGTCTGCTCGCGGGACGAAAATGACGAACTGTTATTTTCGACAACAAAGCGTGTTTTCTCGCACAAAAGCAATTGTTCGGAGCCCGTTCGCGCGATTTCCTTTTCCTCCGCGTTTCCGAGTCGAAAATGGGCGTTTGAAAATAAAAGAGCGTG